ATCGGGAAAGGGCTCTTTGATCTCCGTTTGCCTTTTAAAGTTCTTCCCGATCTCCCTTTTCGCTCCTGTAAAAGTGTCTTACAATGTTTGGACGCTGTTTTAAATGATTGCAATGGTTAGTCCACCTCCTGAAACCTATGCAAACTGATTTTGGTGTTGTTCTGACACTTCGTTAATTTATGATGATTTTTTGAATTTTCTCCATTGGAAACCATTGGATGGTCTGTCTAATGGTTTCCAATGGAAAAAACAAAAAATCATCATAAATTAACGAAGTGTCAGAACAACACCAAAATCAGTTTGCATAGGTTTCAGGAGGTGGACTAACCATTGCAATCATTTAAAACAGCGTCCAAACATTGTAAGACACTTTTACAGGAGCGAAAAGGGAGATCGTTGTGTGAAAATCCCCCATAGGAAACATCGCTGTGTGAGGCAGCAGATTTAACAGAAAAAGGCATCGTTGTGTGAATTCATCGTTGTGTGAGGCACTCGTTGTGCGAGGCACCACTGTACTAAATTATGAATATATTACTTCTTAACAAGATAAATTTAAATAAATAAATAAATAAAAACAGAAATAATTTTCACCCACAGTATTTTAGGTACGCCAGTCCAATCCCTAGATAAGGAAATATTACATGTACATTACAATTTGAGTAAAAAAGTTACAGGATACCTGCTTAATGCTTTGCTCCGACTTTGTTTTCTACGCCTCTCAAAACGCTGTTCATCATCAGATGATGAAGACGATGTGGAATCACTGTTATGCATTGCATGTTTTCGTCTGTTTTAACAGGAAACATTGTAAGCATATTAGGTAGAGTAAAATGTTACACAATTAACAGACAACCAAATAAGGTATCCAGAACTGATTTCATATAGTAGCAAAAAGAGAGGTTACTTATCCGTAACCATAGTTCTTCGAGTGGTCCTCTGTGAATCCACACATCCCACCCATCCTCCCCGCTGTCCGGAGGTGTCTTGAGCTTTGTTTTGGTCAGAGCCTTCACAGCGGCGGACATTTTCAGAACTGAGGTATTACGTGCGGACGGAGCATGAGCACCATGGGGCAACATCCTACTAATCACATCTTTTTAAGCTCTAGAATATTCTGAGAAGCCCTGCACAAGCGCAGTAAAACCCATTTGTGTGCATTCACAGAGGCCACAAAGAAGGAATGTGCCATATATGGATGCATTTTGTAAGGAAAGAGGTGGAAGAAGAGAGAAGTTGTTCCTTACAGATAAGAATTTTGAATTGGTTCCAGACTTGTTCATGCATGAAAGTGCATAAAAATACAGTGGTGCCTCGCTTAACGATGTTAATTGGTTCCAAAAAACACATCGCTATGGGAAAACATCGTTAAGCAAAACGTGTTTTCCCATAGACATGCATTGAAAACCGGTTAATCCGTTCCAATAGGCACAGATTGCCGTCCTTAAGTGAAAAAACCCATAGGAAACATCGTTAAGCGATACAATGTTTCTTCCATTGGAATGCATTGAAGCCTATTCAATGCATTTCAGTGGTTTTGCAATCTCCATTTTTGCAAATTTAAGTGTGTCTTAAAAGGTTCAAAAACTGTTTTAAATGCTTGGAATAGTTAGTGCACCTTCTAAAACGGGTGCAAACTTAATTTGGCTTTGATCTGACTTTTTGTTAATTTTTGCTGAATTTTTCCCCCCACCAACATTTGACAGCTGTCAAAATTTGACAGCTCCATGCTTTCCTATGGGGGAGAAAAAAATTCACAAAAAATTCACAAAGACTCAGAACGAAGCCAAACTAAGTCTGCACAGGTTTTGCAAGGTGCTCTAACGAATCCAAGCATTTAAAACAGGTTCTGAGTCTTCGTTAATTTATTGTGATTTTTTTCCTCCCCCATAGGAAACAATGGAGCTGTCAAAAGTTGGGCTCCATTGTTTCCAATGGGGAAGAATTCACAAAAATTTAATGAAAAGTCAGCAACTGTTTTAAATGCTTGGGTTCGTTAGAGCACCTTCTAAATCATGTGCAAACTTAGTTTGGCTTTGTTCTGAGTCTTCATTAATTTTTTGTGAATTTTTTCCTCCCCCATTGAAATGCATTGAGCCCAACTTTTGACAGCTGTCAAAAGTTGGTTTCAATGCTTTCCTATGGGGGAGAAAAAAATTCACCAAAAATTAATGAAAAGTCAGATCAAAGCCAAATTAAGTCTGCACATGTTTTAGAAGGTTCACTAACGATTCCAAGCATTTAAAACAGTTTTTGAACATTTTAAGACACTTTTAAAATTGAAAAAACAGACATCGTTAAGCGAAACAGGGGACCTAAAAATGCATTCGCTATGCGAAGCATGGTCCCGAAATCGCTAAGCGAAAATTGCCCATAGGAAACATCATTAAATGATGCATAGAATTCTTTGAGAAAACCATCGTTAAGCGTAAACATCGCTAAACGAGGCAATCGTTAAGCGAGGCACCACTGTACATCTGAGCAGTACCAATGTTTCAATGAATTATAAATGATGGGGGCACAAATATATACAATAACTTGAACCAATCTAATTATAAATTTATATTTTGATTGTTCAGAAACTAAACATGTAATCATCACTTCACTCTGAACAGATACAGATAATGTCTAATGTTTTTTTTAAGACTGGGAGGTTTTCACAACCTTTAAGCCTCTAATTGCTAGATCACAGTGGCTCCCCCATTAATATTCAAAGATACTTTAAGTTTAAAAAGCAAACATGCAGACCCACAAAGTAAGGGAGGTAAAGCTGAAAGAGTAACCAAATGAAACTTACAAGCTGAAACTCACAGAAGGGGTATCTATTATCCCCAAGATTTAAAGAGTAGTGATGTAGTATTTGGTGAATCATGGAAGCATGCCTACAATAGATGTCTTTCTTAACAGCTGGGTGTGAAGTATACAGCTGTGACCCTGTATGAGGCCACGGAGACCAGTGTAGATGACTTCAAAGGAAATTACAATCTTTTAAATACCGTTTTCCCAAAAATAACCTGAAAATAAGCCCTAGTATGATTTTTCAGGATGCTCCTAATATAAGCCCTACCACAAGCCACAGTTAAGTGAAACCCCGCCCTCCACCACTGTGCAGCTACCAGATGACATGACTATATTTGAATGTAGGTTGTTGTACATGAAAAAAATAAAACATGTCCTGAAAATAAGCCCTAATGCGTTTTTGGAGCAAAAAATTGTAATAAGACCATCTTATTTTCGGGGAAACACAGTAAATAGAAGTAAATCAGGTTAAGGGATAGGAAACAAAGATTTTCACGCGCTGTCTCCCCACTTTGGTGATAGTTGGATGGAATGATATAATCAGAATTCAGCATGTCTTTATTGAAGATTGATTCCAGTGTATTTGGTATATTTACATATTTCATTGAATTACTGCATTTCTATTTTATACTGATTTTCCTAGAAAAAAACCAACCACTAGTCACTTCAAATTTACCATGTGGTAACAATGAGTGACATCTGAACCCAGGTGTGAGACAAGGAGGTGAGTCGGAATTCCCACTCATTGGAGCGCAGTCCCTTCTCATCAAACAGAGGATAAAGAGAATGGAGAATCCCAATCGACTCCTGTAAAAATACCTGAGGAGTCTCTACAGAGTGCAGAAATAGACGAAGTAGGGAAAGAGTTAAGGGGAATGGAAATAAAGAAGGAGCCATTAGAAAAGGTGGGAGAACAAAGTAAAAAGAGGGAGGAGATTGAAACAGGGATAGAAGTGAGGGAGGAGAGAGCAGTTACCTCCAGGTTGGGAATGGATCTGGTTGCAAGTGGAAGAGGTTGAGATTACCTAGAGAAGAGGCAGATTACAGACAACAGTCAGTTATACCCCCTCTACCCTCTTATTGGGGAGATGCTGAAGCAAGAGAGTGGAGGAGGAAGTTGAGAGAGGAGAAAGAGCGTGTAGAAAGGGAAAGGAGCGAAAGAATTGAATGGAGAGCATGGGAGATGAGGAGGCTGGCAGAGCAAGAACAGAGTGGGAGACCTTGGAACCCGAGAAAGGTACCCAGTGGGATGATCCCAATGAAGATGAGGCTGTGCCCTTGTTGCCTATATCGTTGGGGAAGACCCTGAAGGAATGGACATCACCCAAGTTACCAGGACCCTGGAATACTAGTTATAGCAACCCTTTTATACTTGACAGTTGGAAACTCCTTCTTGACCCATTGGAGGAAGGACACAAGAACACCTCATTTCATGGTTCAAAAATAAATGTTCCAGTTTCCACTGCAATCTGTGTCATGTGAAATTATTGATGCAAAGGATCTTACAGTTGAACACCAGGTCTCCTCAGTTCTAGTACAACAGTCAAACCACTGTATCAGTTATTTCAGTTTAAATACTTACAAGCTGTTGGAATAGTTTAAAATTTGATTAGTGTGCATAAGTAAATCAAACGTGTTAAATCCAACTGTGCTCTATTTAGGGCATTGGAATACTTTCTGTAAAATTTTCCAGTTTAAATTTTTCTGGAAAAAAATACACATCATTACTTGGAGTTAGTCATTTAAGGCCTTTAGTAGAAAATAAAAATAATAAAAACCCGAGCACAGCAAATTCTGCTTCATACAAGATAGCATAGAACTGATGATACACTCCTACTATCTTGTTCCAACACGAGGAAGACCACCACATTCCAGATTAGTCTACATAGATTGGTACTCTAATTTCCTAAAAGTGACACTGAAAAATATAATATTTTCATTCTTCAGGGACGGAGGCACTTCTAGTCCAAAATGACAATAGCACCATATATCCCTTATGCTGACCAGTATCAGTCCTTACATTACTAGCAAAGCTTAGTGGGGGAATTTAGTACTGGACTGGCTTTTTCAACGTTTTGACCTATAACAATACCAAAAGATTCAGAAGGCATAGTCAATTATAATGGATTAAGGGAGATGGTAGTCCAGAAGATCTGCCAGCCCTCATATTGGTGCTCTGCCATAGCAGAACCAACTGTAGCTGAATAATTCAGGAGTAGAGGACAGTTCAAACACTGGTAACACTAGAGTATTAACACAGACAACAAACCTGTTCATCTTTTTACAGTAAGGGCTTCTTGGTCCTGCAGGACTAAAGGAAAACCTTCGTCTTACTGGTGAGGCAACATCAGGATAAAATAATTTGGGCTTCCTTTGATGCCTGGGCTCTATAAATAACAGAGATAAAATTACACATTTTTGTCTACATATCTGTCAACAAAAATACATATGTCAACTTACATATTATTTATTAAAAACCAAAATCTAGAAATATCATGCAGATATACTTAGTATAATGCTAATTTGAAGCAAATCCATTTGTTAATTTTCCACCAATATATTTTCATTCGTTAGTAAAAAGACTTAGAGGAAAAAAATAGATAGGTAGATAGATAGATATTAACTTTTGAAAATCATCTACCAAAAACCTATATAATTAAATGAAAAAATGTAAACTTTTGAAATATCAAGTAATTTGTGATACAGTGCAGTTTTCCAAAGTATTTCAATCAGAAACAAAGATAGCTTATTCCTCCAGAAAAACATGATATCAAGCAAACTTACTTTCTGGTGAAGCTTGATATCGCACAACAGTCTTTCTTTGTCTAAGATCATAACGCTTCTGATTATCTTCTACATCTTCTTGGTCTTCACCTTCTTCTGAAGACTCTAATTAATATAAAATAAGTTTATTTAGCTTGAAAAAATTACCCTTTTAAAAAAAAAATGGTCCACCAGATTCAAGCGCTAGACCATTTTAGTTCTAGATCAAGTAGGGCCTTCTCAGCGGTTGCTCCTCAGCTGTGGAATGAACTCCCCCCTGCAATTCATTTGGCCCCTTCGCTTGTGACTTTTAAAAAGTCACTACAGTGGTGCCCCGCATAGCGACGTTAATCCGTTCCGGATTCATCGTCGCTATGCAGAAACATCGCTGAACAGATCAAAAAACCCCATAGGAACACATTAAACTTTGTTTAATGCGTTTCTCTGGGGCCCAAACTCACCGTTCAGCGACGATCCTCCATAGCGCCACCATTTTTGCGCCCTTGGTAAGCGAGGGCAGGGCGCAAAAACAATGCGGGCCGCCACTTTGTGCGTCCGGCCGCCATTTTGGAAACGCCGATCAGCTGTTTTGAAAACATCATAATGCGAAGATCGGTAAGCGAAACGCTTACCGATCATTGCAATGCGATGTTTTGCCCATTAAAACATCACAATGCGATCGCATTAGCGACCTAAAAAAATAGATCGCTATGCGGATTCATCGTTAAACGGTGCGCTCATTATGCGAGGCACCACTGTACAAACCTGGTTATTTAGACAGGCATTACAATATACTATACCTAGAGATTCAGCTGAGCTTAGCTAGTCTACTTGATTAAGTCCGCCATTTTAAATGTTTTAAATTGTATTTCAATTATGTTTATATATGTTCTAAAAATGAAATAAATAAATAGTGTCTGTTATTGTTTGGCAACATCATACTCATCCAAATAAGCATTACTATACATAAATGTGTTGGGAAATAACCTCAACCAAATTTAATGGAATATGTTTGAGTATGCAAGTACAAGATTGTGTTCTTACAATCCGTTACAGCATTTTACAGAATTTAATGAGTTACTCCCTGGTATGTGAGTTTCAGACTACAACCTGAACAGGTTAATGAGCAATTAAGAGCAATTATCACCGGCTCTGCATATCATTTTGTAAACATCCAATTTATGTAAACAAGATTCTGATTCCAACAGAACACACAGGTTCCTGTCCTACGGGAACAGGCTGCAGTAGTTTTGACGCTCACCCGGGACCACATGTGGTGTTGGGTTGGGGCTACAAATTTATACCCATACATTTTCCCATCTATATCTTTGGGTCAGTCAAGTGATGGGGAGGATTAAATATCCCTTCAAGGATCACAGTTATCTAATGATGGGATTATTAAGGTGTGAGGAAATGCTTTCATTTGATAGTGAGGAAGATAATTCATTTCCACAGGTAAACAAAATTCTATTGCACTGTACTGACATCATAAAGACTGTTCTAAAAACAAAACAACCTGCACTTCCATCCTGGTTATCAGTAGTTTCTTCATCAGTCCTCTGGATTACTCTTTTTTGTTTTCCTCTTGAGTACACATTAAGGTTTTCCTGCATATAAGAAGAAGCATCAGTTCAACTAATTACGTGCAATAAAGCCATCTGCGTACATTCATGAAAAATTAAAGTTCCAGGACTAACACTGATAAAGCAGCAGTGTAAAATGTAATAAAATGCTACAACCATCTGGCTTACTCATGCAGAGAGCAAAGGCAAAGTTAAACTACGTGTTTTAAAAATTATATTAATAAGTACTGTCCTTTATACAACATGAATATGCTCTTACCCCTTCTCTGTCATTGAATACTCCAAGATCTTCTAAATCCATCATTCGTTGCCGGCGCATCTTTTTCATATCATCCATTTTTTGAAGTACAGCTTCAGCAGTGCTGATAAGCATGCAAGGCAAAATTATGAGTATGAAAATGTTTTAAGTAGAATCTAGTTAAACAAAAATGTTGCAGGAGTGTGCTAAGCAGGCACAGAAATGTTTTTTAACTTGTCTCTCCTCCAAAATGCAAAAGGGTTTGCAATGCACTATACACTATTAATGCTCACCAACTTGAACTTCCTGTTGCATGTATTTAACACACCTCTTTTCTCCATACATAACTAGTAGTTGTAATTACAGAACTGAAACAGGCTGATTCACAAGCTACCCTTTATTATCTTTTATCTAGGGATACGATTGGTGAAGGAAGGGGAATGACTAAGATCTGAACAAAATGAAGTTAAGACTCTTTTGAAAAGAAACAAATCTGAATTCTCCTGAAGATTTGTTAGTTTCATTTAGAGGAAAACAGAGATAACAGATAGTCTGCAATGGGAGCTGGAAGAGCAAAACTGAGTGTCTCTCTGGAAAATGCTGGCAGTTCTATTTCTTCTGTACCACATCAAATATGCACTCTAATGCTGTTGTATTTTATGTGACTTTGTGACAGAGGAAAACAGGAACTCCTCAAGTTCTGCAATTGTACTTCTGAAATTCTGCAAATTTCTTCCTACCATGGAAAAGATCAACACTCTCCAACTTAAACATTCCTTTTCTACCCAAAATTCATTACCGTGTTTCCCTGAAAATAAGACAGGGTCTTATATTAATTTTTGCTCCAAAAAACGCACTAGGGCTTATTTTCAGGGAATGTTTAATTTTTTTCATGTATAACAATCTACATTTATTCAAATACAGTCATGTCATCTTCTAATGGTTGCTGCACAATGGTGGAGGGCAGGGTTTCACTTAACTGGGGCTTATTTTTGGGGTAAGGCTTATATTAGGAGCATCCTGAAAAATCATACTAGGGCTTATTTGCATTGGTTGCCCATCCGTTTCCGCACTGATTTCAAAGTTTTAATGCTTACTTATAAAGCCCTAAACGGTTTAGGACCTCGATATTTGGCGAAACGCCTACTCCCACCAAGCTCTTCCCGGATCACCCGTGCAAGTCAGGAGGTGAGGCTGAGGGGCCTGACGCCCAGAGAGGCCCGGAAGGAAAAAAACAGGAAATCGGGCCTTCTCAGCAGTGGCTCCTTGCCTCTGGAACAAACTTTCTCCGGAGATTCGTGCGGCCCCTATGCTGGGTATCTTTAAAAGCCAAGTAGAAACATGGATGTTTATTCAGGCCTTCCCTCTCTTCTCATTTCTCTTTAATTTACTTTACTGTTTTCTTGGTTTCCACATTTTCATTTGTAGATTTATGTATCTATGTGTTTTTATTAATTGTTTGTATTATATTGGAAGCCGCTCAGAGTGGGTGCATAGACCAGATGGGTGGGATACAAATAAAATCAAATAAATAAATAAATAAATAATTTCAGGTTAGGTCTTATTTTCAGGGAAACAGGGTACACAGAAGTGCATTTTCCAGCATAGACTTTACTTTCATAAAAACTAGTCATAAACTGAAAACAGCTTTATTAAAAAGCAAAATGGAGAGTATCAAGGCACGATTAGTTGGGAAGTAGAATTAGAACAGACCTATAAAGGGGAAATATATTTAGCAACAAGACTGAATTGTATTACTTTGGTAGTAGATTTCTCCTTTGAATTGCATGGACCTGAGCAGCAGTTTTGGTTATACACTTTTCAATATATATTTCAATATGTTTTTTAAAAATCAATAAATATTATGCTATTTGTCTCTGGGAAGTGACTTGAGAAAGGTGGGTCTCAGGCTGACCTGGGGCCTTGCTGTTCGCACTGCAGCAGCTCATCTGGCTGGCCCCCTCTACTGTCATAACCACTTCATGCAGTGTCCAGGGATGGTCCTGGGGCATGCCAGGATGCTGATTGGGGGAATGTGTGTATGTGTTTTTTCAATCAACTATGCCTGTAGCTACATTTTTGAAGGTATAAGAATTATACCCAGATTCTGAACTACACAGGGGTCTGGCTCCTCTAACTCCAATGCTATTGAAAGCAGAAGTGTAATAGGAAAGTACTCTAATAGCTAATATGCAAGCTACAGTGTGTTCCATATTCATTCATTACTAATTTTCAGTCAGCAAAGATTCACAAAACAGTTTCAGATAACTGTCGATACCTTTTAGAATGTGCACCAGTTTCTTCAAGTAAATGCCATTAACTTTTAACCAACATTTTGATGCTGTACTGGAAGAAAACTTACTTTGTAATAAGCTTGTCAAACAAAACTGACTGGTTCATCGTACTATAGCGACTGCGCCTAATTCTGCAGCTACGACGAACTTCAACATCCCTATTTTCTTCTGCAACAAGCTCAGAGGGCTTCACATTTATTCCATTTTTCAGTGATCTGGTGACAGGAACTACAACTCCTAGGGAAAAGAAATCAGAACATTTTAGGCAAAAAGTATCTTTCTCTACAGCAGATTCAGTCAGTCACAGGTTCTAGAAATCAGAACATTTTAGGCAAAAAGTATCTTTCTCCACAGCAGATTCAGTCAGTCACAGATTCTTTAAGACCTTTTACAATTCTATATTGATATGACTTGTATAATTTTACAATGCTTACCTTCTTCACACTCTTCATTTTTTGTATCAGCCTGCAATCTAGCCAGCTGCCTACACAGAAGCAAATACATGGTAAGAGCTAGCATCTCATTCACCACCTTCGCTTAGATGTTTATTTAAAACACTCAGTAGCCAAGTATGGATTCAATATTCAGTTGACATGAGCAGAATCTGGAACAAACTGCTGGGTAGCTTGCTCCTATTTGGGTTTGCAGCCAACCAGCCCACCTCTATTCAGTCTCCCTTCCCCCTTGCCATTCCATTCTTCTACCCTAGGTAGCATTTATGCTGATGGGATTAGACACACTAAATAGGCTTTTGGTCTGAACCAGGAGGGTTTCCTTGTATTCTTCCATGCATTCTTCCATGCCCAGAGCAGCAGTTGTCAGATATTCAGCCAGAAACAATATTGGTATGTAGAACACTATGCTAGCCTTAGTTTTGGTCAGTGACATCACAGCTGCATTGCAGAATGAAGCTCATCACGGAGACAAATGAGATGAAATTGGTTTTTGGCTCACACATTCAGGGAGATGGTGTTCAGTCAGGCTGCACTGTTACTGAAAGTTGGGCTATCTACACATCTATCATTGCTACTGGAGCCTCAACTGGTGTCAGCAACAAGACAGAGCCTTTTGTCAGCTACTTGACAGACCAACTATAGCCTCTCCTGGAAGAAGACAGTGTATATTCAGTTATCCCAACTCTAGTAAACTCCAGTTTCAATTATTACTAATCAGGCTACTGGCTTATAAATACAATTATTTGTCATGTCATTCATTCATTTAATGTCACGTAGTTCTGGAAATTCTGGGAACCAAGGTAGCTAACAAGATGACTAAAATACATATAAACAAAACATTTCGAAAGTTATGTTAAAATACAATTATCATATTAATCATGATTAAAGTAATTTACACTGTATTTAATGCCACATCCAGAAAATTGTTCCGCCTAATAAAAGGTATTTTCTCAGCAGTTAGTCAACCGTCAAAAAACTGACTGAATAAGGACATCTTTTTCTGACAGCATGAAGACAAAAGTGGGACAGGGGGCAATCTGGTCTTCTCTGGAAGGGAGCAGATGTGGTATTCAGGAAGTAAATCTAGTTGTCAGGCATTTCTTTGCGTGCCTCCCGTAACTAGAAGTAGAGCAAAGGATGGACAGCATGCCTTTTCAAAGGAGGCTTCCTGATTATGGAAAGCCAACCTCAGGCGGGTTTACTTGACAGCTACTTTGCTATCATTTCTGAATCAGAAAATACTTTTATTTTTTCAGACTTAACACTACCCTTTTGTATTTCTTTTAAGCTTGCTGTTAATCATTAACATTTGATTATTTCACTTGTTTTACAATATTCATACTGTATTCTTTTTAAAACAAATAAAAATCAGGGGATTCATAATGCTCACAGTCCAACTACCTGCTCACAGTACTAGAACTGCCATTAGCCCACACCAGCAAATCTCATAATGAAGCAGATTTAACAAGACAGAAATGAAATCGAAAACCCACTTCAGAAAAACTTCCTTTTATACTAGGATTCATTTCTGTTGAATGAGCTGGGGGTAAAATTGCTAGGCAAACCATTTCTAAAGCATGCAAATAGGATTCAGCACAATTAAGCCCAGAACTCTCAGTAAAAATACAATTTCCTCTGTATCAAGTCACCTCACTCAGATTTTTAACACTCATGTATAACATGTTGACCAGTGTAAAATGAAAACAAAAAACTAGTTAAAATACAGATTCTGTTGCATACACTGGATAACAAAACACTGAGGCAGAACATTAAAGGATCCTATCATCTGATTTTCAAAAACAAGAAAAATCAATTACCTTGTAAAATGTTTCCTGTTAATGCCATTTTCACTGAGCATTACCACGTCTTTGTCAAACCCAGAGTCTGAACATTGTTGATTACTCTTCCTCATAGAGTGTCTTGTGAAATGTTCACATTCCTGAAGAAGCACAAATAACAATTACAGTGGGGTCTTGACTTAAGAACGGCTTGAGTTAAGAACATTTTGACTTAAGAACCACTCTCATAGGAAAATATTGACTTGACTTAAGTACTTAGATTTGAGTTAAGAACTGAAAAAAACCCACGTGGGAGGCAGGGAAAGTGCAAAATGTGAACTTTCAGTTAACTCTTGGCCAGTGGAAAGGGTGCCTGTCTGCTTCCTCACTCCTCCCAGCGTTTAGAGAGCGGATTGGGAGACAGTCTTCGGACTGCCTGGTACTGTACTGCCTGGACTGTATTTTCCCTGCCTTCCCTGAACCTTTCTTGACCTAAGAAAAAAAAGAAACAAAATATCCCCCTCTAGTGGTCGAAGGCAGAATAGCAGCTTCCCATTAGTTTCTATGGACGGAAAAGAGCAGATACGGATCAAATGGTTTTCAATGCATTCCTATGGGAAATGCAGCTTTGACTTGAGATCATTTTAACTTGAGCACCGCCTTCCAATACGGATTAAGTTCTCAAGTCAAGACCCCACTGTAGAAACATGTGCATATATTATTTTAAAAGTTACACTACAGATCTTCTGCATAATACATACATGTATCAAGGAAAAGATGAAGGCATGGATAAATATATTGATATGTATTTTAGCATGCCCAAATAGCTGTGCGTACATGGCCAAATACTAGAACCCAAAATATTTGGTGTTAACTGGCCCTAATAGATGCACAGTATTTGATGCTTGGGAGGAACAGCACTGTTCTTCCTGCTAGTGACAAGAGAATATACAGGGAACAGTTACTCAAGCAGCCATGGCATCACCCCCATTATTAGAGGAGCAAGTATAAGGCACAATTGGATGGTCCTGCTTTATCATTAGCTCTGCCATTAAATAACAAATCATCTAAAGTATTTATATTTTGTCTTTATATTTTTTTAAATGACTGCTTGAATTTCTCATTATCAGGCCAGAATTTTTAATAAATATCCTCTGCCATCTCTGTTTTAAAAATAGCATTGAAATTGAAATCATTTTAATTGAAGACTTGAAATGAAGTCTATAATCTTTTTAGTGACTCTAGTCACTAGATACCATGTATGTGCTAAGTGTAAGAAAAAGAGACTCAGGCTAATAGACCAATTGTCGTTTACCCTTATCACTTTGGCCAAATCACCAATACACTCACAGGTCAAAATGTTTGAGAATCACGCCATTACACTGTAAACCTCCAGCATAACATGTTTTATTTAGTATTGGCACTGTTCCAACTTGTAAACTTGTTTTGGGAAGATAATGGTAATCCCACTCCTCAAAATATCTTATATTGGAACCACCACACCACTGAAGTCACATAAGTAAAAACACATTGAAAATCAACAAGTCTAGAATTCCTGCCTTTTAAATCACCTTCCTTGGTCTCCAGTAAGTCAGCCAACCTGGAGTGCTCAAAAGGACTGTCCCTGCCAGCATAGGAATTAGGGTGGGGGCCAACTTCAACTTCCTTGTAACCTGATGTAAAAGCCCATTGTAGGTTACAAACCATTATGGGGCTGTATAATCTGCAGGCTTAAAAAGAAGGTACCTCAGAATGCCAGATGCAGGGCAGGGGTATCAGGAGACAGCTATCTAGTTGTCCCATGTGCTCCCAGAGGCATCTGGTGGGGCCCCTGTGAAATACAGGAAGCAGGACTAGACAGGCCCTTGACCTGATCCAGCAGGGCTCTTCTTATGTTCCTTGGGAGGCAGTTCTGTATCTCTCACTTTAGCTTAGACCCTCTCATGTCCTCCCCAAGTATTCTTGTGAGGATGTGAAAGGACCAACTCCTTTCCAAAGATCTTATAACCCACATAGATTCACTGTGGATGATATGGCACTATTGATGGCATATCCAAATCGCTGAGGGATTTGCAGCTGTGATGTTGGGAAAGAGTAAAGGCAAGAGGAGAAAGGGACGACAGAGGATGAGATGGTTGGACAGTGTCATCAAAGAAAGCGACCAAGATGAATTTGATCCAACTCCGGGAGGCAGTGGATGACAGGAGGGCCTGTCTGCTCTGGTCCATGGGGTCATGAAGAGTCAGACACAACAATCAGTGAAAGGATTTTTTGCTCTTCCTGCAACACATTGGTCACCCAAACTAAGAAGATTTTCCCCAACCAGGATGTCAGATAAGAAATTGTGGCCAGCTTGAGTGAGCAGAGCTGTTTAAGAAAAGACAGCTATTGTTCCTTAATCATCACCTCAGGGGACAATTCAGTTCCCTGCAGAAGGTGCTTGAGAAACAGGAATTTTGCATAGAGACAATGAAGGAGAGCTTATCGTTGGAACCGGATAAAGCAAGGGGAGGAAGCTGCACAACTGGTTCTGCCAGGAATTTAAGTGGGGTCTGGTTCCTTTTTATCATGCAGAGCATATTTCAAAAGGCAGGGCAAAAACAGATCAGCCCAGCACTTTGCCCAAATACAAGCTCAACACTTGTGTGGACACTGGTGGTCTGGAAGCAACCATTGAAGGAAAGTGTGCATCATTTAATTTACGGGCAGAGAAAACCAGGGTAGCAGTCTTTAGTCAATGGCAATGCGATAATCCATGCAAAAGATCTTCACTCATCCCCCCTCCTCTTTACCGCGGTTAAATTAACTATCACGAGAGGCAGCGATGGCCCAACTCAAAGGGCTGCGAAGGGGATTGCATAAATGAAACGAAATTACCCTGAGCATTGATCATTAGAAACGGCGGTTGGGAAATTGCTTTCTGGAGTGCCAAAAGCCCCCAGCTAGTACGGCCACGGGACACTGTTGGGGTTTTTTGTACAGAAATTAAACTTTTCCAAGCACGGCTTTCAAAAGTTACCAAAAAAAAAGAGGACTTTTCCAAGTCCGGCTTTCCGATTCACCCCCAAGATCAGGTGAAGCCAAGCCCTGGCTGTCCCTGAAACAGCTTCGGAACCCCTGCGGCCCTTCCTTTCTCGCCCCCCTCCGACTCACCGCCACCGCTCTCCGGTTCCCGGCAGGTCCCTGGCTAGAAGAGCCAGCAGCCTCGGCAGCGGCCGTGCTTGCCGAGCGGGTCCCGACTCTGCGCCTGCTGCTGCTCCGCGTCGACGGCAGCTCCAAGGAGAGGAACTCCGAACTCGACTCGATCGCCTCATAGAGGCACCGCGGAGGGACGACCCGCCGACGGCTCCCGGTGCTGGGCGTCGCGGCGCCGCTCTCTCCGTCGTGAGGGTCCGGGCGGCTAGAACCGCCCGAACTGCTCCGGAGCATCACCATGACCGCCCTCCCCGGAGCGGTAGAGCGATAACGGCCGGCGTTGAGCGAAACTCAACCCTGACTTTACCTCTCAAAACTCTATCCTCAGCCCACTCCGAATTCTGGCGCCACGGCCCGCCCGCCGCAGCGTCACCAACCGCCCTCGGGATTCCTCCGCCCCTCTGGCTCCTCCTTTTTCCTCAGGGCGGGGGAGGGGGGAGCTGAAAAGTGCCAGGCCACCCTGGTTAAGGCGCACAAGCGTTGGGCCGCGCTTCCTTCCTTCGCTCCCTTTTTCGTGTGAAGGATCCCAGAGCTTAGTTTCTCTCGCGGGGCTGTTTTGTGTCTCGGCAAATAGTCCCACCTTGGCGAAGGGACACGGCGCGCGGGACTGCCTTTGACAACGTCCGTTTTGGCGCCAGCGGGGTTCGAAAGACGCTGGTTTTTGCCGCGCCTTGATTGGCTCCGGGCGAGGCGGCAGGGCGGTGGGCGGGCGCGCTCGGCTTTGCCTGCAGAGCTTCCTAGTCCTTGCCCCGGGGAGCGTTCGAAAACGAAAATATTCAGCAACCTGAATGTGTATTTACCCCCTTAAAAAGGAGTGCTTTCCCTCCCGTGCACTTACCTTCATTTTCTTAGGAAAAGCAAGCCCGGCGTGTGGTCGCCTCTTGGTTGGTGTCCCTGAAACTTACTGGCATGTATTAAGTGAAGAACAACAGGCGAAACCGACAGTTCTACGGTTTATTCCTTTGAATTCTTAACATACCACAATATCCCCGAAGGGCACTCTTGCAGCAAATTCCACTCTTCCCCCCCCCCCAGTACATTATCAGTCAACATCTTAATAGTTTTACAAAGAAGCAACTATTTTAGATAAGAAATTTGGCATGTTTTTAGGTTAGGCATCCTTCAGTCTTGAGAGACTATAGTACTGTATCTTGCTCTCCACGGAGGACTTGGAACAGCGTCTAGTGTGGCTGAGAAGGCCAATTTGAGTGACAATCCCTTCCACACAGAAGGCAAATACAATCTGTCCCCTGTCCAGCTCCCTGATTTTCCTGGGTTTGGGACTGCCTCTTTGCTTCATCCGGCTGGACAAGGGTCTCTTCAAATTGGGAGAGGCTGTGATGCACCGCCTGCCTCCAAGCTGAGCACTCCAATGTCAGGGTTTTCCATCTGTTGAGGTCCATTTCCAAGGCCTTCATATCCCGCTTGCAAATGTCCTTGTATCGCAGCTATGGTCTCCCTCTGCATGTATCTACTCAAATACAGTATAATGCTCTCTCAGTTCCATGCAACTTCAATGTAAACTGGTTCAGGATTGCAGGCTTGAGGATGTCATAAAACTAGCAGAATTTCATTAATATCCTGCTTCCCCGAATATACGATACGACAGGGTCTTATATTTTTGCTCCAAAAAACACACTAGGGCTTATTTTCAGGGGATGTTTTATTTTTTTTCATGTAGAACGATACATTTATTCAAACACATCAGGGGATTTTTTTTTCATGTAGAACGATACAGTACATTTATTCAAACACAGTCATCTTTTTCTGGTTGCTGCACAGTGGTGGAGGACGGAGTTTATCTTAACTGGGAATTATTTTGGGGGTCTCTTGTTTATTCGTTAAGTCGTGTCTGACTCTTTGTGACCCCATGGACCAGACCACGCCAGGCCCTCCTGTCTTCCACTGCCTCCCAGAGTTGGGTCAAATTCATGTTGGTAACTTCAATGACACTGTCCAACCATCTCGTCCTCTGTCGTCCTCTTCTCCTCTTCACAAATATGTCTGGTAGAGGACAGCAGGAATCAGAAGGGGGAGGAGCAAGTATTGACCATGTAAGAGGAGAGAATAAGTAGTCAAGGCGAGAGGTGGTTTGAATGAGGACAGCAGGAATCAGAAGGGGGAGGAACAAGTTTTGACCATGTAGGAGGAGAGAATAAGTAGTCAAGGCGAGCGGTGGTTTGAAGCAGGACTGCGGGACTATGAAAGAGCGAAAACAGGAGACATAAAAGAGAGCTGGAGAGACTGCGGGACTATGAGAGAGTGAAAACACAGGGGTTATTGAGAGATTTCCCAAATCTAAATGAAGTTAGGGGGATTGCTACCAGATCCCCCACTTGAAGAGGCAAAAGAAGTACAGTGGAACCTCGATTTACGAACTTAATCTATACTGGAATTGGAACCTCGATTTACGAACTTAATCCATACTGGAAGCAAATTTTCCCATAGGAATGCACTGAAAATCGTTTAATCCTTTCTGGCTGTTTTTCGTTCTTATCTAGAGGCACTGTTCGCAAGTACTGTAGAGGCATTAGTTCCCATAGGAACTAATGCAAAGCCAGTTAATCCGTACTCTACCATTACAGGGAGGATTACTTTCTTTTGTCTTCTTTTGACCTAAAATGAACTTAAGTCAAAAAAAGGGCAGGAAAGGATGGAGAGGGGGAGAAAGTACTATTGGAGGGGGAGAAAGGACTGTTATTGAATCCCAATACCCCACTGGAATGGCCAGGACCTTGGAACATTCAAGAAGGAAATCCCTTCATGTTTGAAGAGTGGAAGCCCCCGACAGACCTGTCGTCTGAGCCGGAGAAGAGTTGGAACATGTTTATTGATACGGGACTATTGTTAAATAACACAGTAAGTGTTACATCTATTTCAAAACCAAGGAAGTCCGCTAATTTATTTTTGAGTTACCACAGAGCCCAACATTGAACCCGCACAGTTACCTAAGGTGACATTTAAGATCATTCTGCCTTTTCCCCGGCTTTGATCACAAAAACCACAGCCCAGACTTTCTGCCTGGACTTCCAAATTTTATACCATTTTTGCCAGATAAAGAGTTAATGCAGAACTTGAAATGTTGCCTTCTTTGTAATTTTTTAGTGATCCAAAAAGTGTATTGTCTAACTCAGAACTTAGATTCTATTAATGCATCATATGGGTATTTTGTTTAACTGAAGAGTGACTGAAGAGTGTTACTGAGAGAGAAAAGGAACTGCAGGTTCCAATGATATCTAGTACACCCCTAGACAAAACAATGCACTTTTTTGGATCTAAGCAAATCCCCCCAGGTCCTATCTAATAATGGTTCCCGAGTTCCCTACTTCTTTCCTTTTTGCTTCATGCTCAACTATAGGTCAAGATCAAAGCAGTAATTAGGGTGGGGTAACTTGGAGTTCCAAAATTTGCTGCTGGAAGACAGAAGACCCACCAATTGAGATTTGCTGCTGGAAGAACACAAAACTGCCCATTCTGAGTGTGTACACTCCTCCAGCTGCTCATCTCAAGGCAGAAAGAAAGACAAGAACATGCAGATCATTTCAAAACTTCACCACTCTTCCATTCTTTCTCTTGATATTCCAATTCCAGGTCACTCACACTTCACTAATACCATTGCAAATCCCCAGGTACCAAGACTGCTTGTCATGGATCTGAGTTCTGGACAGGATCTTTTTGTGTAGGGCCTGGAAATGTGGATCTGCCACTAATTGCCCTGCTCAGCAGCAATATCAGCCCTATAACGCGAAGGCTAAAATCTTGCTGCACACTTACTTGCCAATATGCCCTATTAAACAAAGTGAGACTTGCTTAGGAGTAAATTTGTAGGGTTGGTTAAAATGGTTGCAGCTGCAGAAATGAAAGACCTTTGGATTTGCTTGGTTAGCCTGCATTTCTCTTACCCTTATTACCCTAAAATGCTTAAGCAGCCCACCCCCACAAAAGCACAGTACCATGAGGACAAGGGGAGAAGTCCTTTCTTACAGACAAAGCAACCTTGATGAGGGATGCTTCACAGCTGCCACAGAAGTTCAAATAGAGGACACTTCTTCCCTGGAAAAAAAAATAAAAATAAAGCTCATTCCCAGGAAGTTCTGGTCACATCCCATCCAGTCCAAGACCACTGAAATTCTTCTTTCAATCTCCCCTTTCTCCTTAAAAGAAAAAGTGTCACTTGTTCAATTTCTGCAACCAACTTGCAGCAACTTCCCTCCGACTTACAGCAACTCTATGAATGATTGACTTTCAAAATGTCTCATTCTTAACCACCCTACTCAGCTCTTGTAAACTCAAGGCTGTGGTTTCCATTGTGGAGTGAATCCATCTCCCGTTTGGCCTTCCTCTTTTCCTTCTGCCTTCAAGTTTTCTTAGCATTGTCATCTTTTCCAGTGGTCTTATCTTCATAATGTGCCCAAAGTCTGACAAGCTATAATGATAGGAAAAAATAAATTGTCAGACCTTAACCACAACATCCCTATGTAATTGGAACTGAGATATGCCTAGTTATTGACTTTTTCCAAGGCCTGTCTCACTTGCTTTGCATACAGCCTGGGAAATTCAAGCTCCCTTTTCAGCCTAGACTGCCATCTTAACCATCCTTCTAAACATGTCTTTTAATTAGATTTTCCTTTGCATATTGATAAAAACGTGTACCATGCCTTTGCACAGGGTGGACCTTATGCATTAAAGTGGATTTTGGTGGTGCTTACAGCCAGATATTTGGGCACAGGATTGCAGCTTCAGGTAGGCTCCAATTGTAGCCACAGTTTCAAGAGACCTTAGGAAAACTACTTTTTCAAAAGAAGGCTCCCAGAATCTCCCAAAAGCATGCTAGCTAGGGCATTCCTAGAGTTGTAGTCCCCCCAAAAAGGTAAAAAAAGTTAATTCCGCATTTCGGGTGTCTATTTTAAAATGCCTTCTTTGCGCAAACCTCTCCTCCCCTTCTAAAAAAAGCACACGCCCCTGCTTCTAGGTTGCCGCGGAACGCCAACTTTGCAGCCGTGTTTCCAGGGGAAGGATTTCTTCGCAACTCACCCCATGCTTTGTAGCACCAGCACTAGGAAGTCATGCGTTCCAGACCTTTGTAAATCTTAACGGCGGCGACGAGACCAGAATTATCATCATCATAACCGCCGCCGCCGCCTTTACAGGCTGTCTCGCTCAGGAAATGAGCCCCCTAAACCTGCCGCAGCCCCAGGATTGTGAGCGCCCGAATGGACGAACCGGCGGCACCAGGGCTTGCTGCAGCTGCACAAGCAGAGGCTACCTATCAGCCGGTGGTACGTGCTCGGTCCGATTGCGTTTACACCAGCTGCTACTGGTAAGGAACCCTCCCAGCACTTATGGGAAGGAGGGCTCAGAGCTCTGTTTATTAAAATAGAAGTGGGAGTTGCAGCACACGGCAGTGCTGCACAGGATAGGTGCAGAATACGGTAAGTTCCAGAATATCGTAAAATCTCTTAGTCTTAAAAATAGTAACCAAATAATATTCCCCATGAATCCCTTCCCCCAAACTTCTTCCATTCCTTTATACCAGTTGAATGACTCAATCGTATGCATCCTTTCTCAGAAGTAAGTCTTATTGAGTCCAGTGGGTTTGAGTCTTTGATTCGTGTGCACTGGTGCAATGGTAAATTTGGATGTGACAGTATTCCTTGTGACAGGCCTCCTAGTCAGTCTTTCCCCAGAACAGCCCCAGTAGGCTAGCACCTGGATCAGCTCATATCAACAAATGTGGAGCAGGGTGTTTTGCAATGTGAATGGCTCTGAATTGCCCTTTTCAAGACCAAGCTCCCTTCAAATAACTGTGCTGCAATAGAGATAGCTTGCCAGGTTGTGCTGTTCATGGGGAAATTGATGTTGTCTCTCAGCTGCTGAGAGATTGCATCTAAGATCAGAGGGAGCAAAGAAGCTCTAGCCTCCAGCATCAGTGGTGCCAAAGGAAATTGAGAAGTTGTGAAGGAGAGATAGGAAAAAGAGAGAAGGAACAGAGTGAGCCGTCCCCACGAACATCGGAGACAGGAGAGAGGGATATAATAGAACGGGAAGAATTGATTGTAGAAGAAAGAGAAGAGAAAGTTGAAACCTGTCTGGTGGAGGAAGGAGAAAAGAAGGAGGAGTTAGTTATACCAGTATGGGAGGTGGATATAAAAGCTGAAAGGGAGAGGAGAGCTTTGAGTATATTAGGGAAAGAGGCAATGAGAAAGGGAGAGGGAGAAGAGAAAAGATTAATGCACATATGAGGAAACACGCGGGTTGTGAAAGACTCCTGAAAGTGGATTACTGCCAGATCTGGAATTAAGAAAGGAAAAAGGATCTATAACAGAGGCATTAGAATGGACAGTTGTAGTCTTTCCGTGAGGACAAGGTCACTGGAGGATGGTGATCAGACTGGATCAATCATTCAACCAACCACCAAGTGAGGGAGATTGGGCCAGACACCCATGTTGTGGAATGATTTGTGCGGTGTGGAATGCTCCGTTGAGGAAAACTACAGACCAGGAGCGTTTTGGTCCAGCCCCCCAATGAGCTTTCCTCATCTACAAACAGAGTTTTCGTCGTCATGTTACGGACAGTTACCCAATCTGAGTTGTTTTGATCCCATAAAAGTTGTTGTGGAATCGCCAAATATTAAAGTAAATACTGTAAATCTGTTGATGTTCCAAAAGGGGCTCAGTTGGCTTTTCCTGCCAAAAAGGAGAAACTGCTTCAAATTTCAGACAAACCCAATCACAGAAGTATTGTCCAACCTGCCTGGAGAGCATTAATTTAGAGAAGGCTGAGGTATCTGATTGTATTCTTAATCTGTCAACATTCAGACTATGGGAAGTGTTGAGCAAAGCTATAACCTAGTAAGTACTAGAGCTCCATGCCTTCCATCCAGAAGGTTTCCGATTCAGGCCATGGCTGATAAAGGTGCTTCATATACCAGGATGGAAAAAGGCGCTGAATTTGGTGTCTCTGTTAGAGTGGATTAAACGGCTTGGTAGACTGATTCATGATGAGACTGTCCAGATATATTCAAGAATATTCTGGAGTGTCATTTAAGAGCATTTAACATAAGGATGCCCCCCACAGTCAATATAATTAATTATATACCAGACTGTATATATTCTCAAGAATGTCTATTCTCTACCTGGAAAACCTGAAAAGGATTGCTATAAATCAGAATTGACGTGATGGCACATGTTTATTATATCAGAGATGTATGTGGTATGCATGTATCGTGATAAAATTAAGAGTGCATTTGTACATGTGTGCTACATGTGGAAAATTTTAAAAGAGATTTGACCAGACTGTTAAGGAAAAACATAACAGTGAGTGGTTACTTTTAAAAATTAAAATTTTTTAATTTGTTCAAATTAATATCAGTAAATGCATTCAATATTAAAATTTCATAACCAAATAAGAAGTGTGTGTATTTATTTTTTCTTCGTAGTGAGGAGAATGTATGGAAGCTTTGTGAACACATTCGTAGCCAGAATCAGTACCCATTAGAGGAATTCTATGCTGTTTTCATTTCCAACGATAGAAGGATGGTAAGTGAGGGAGTGGAACTGAAGCACTGCATGCTTGTAATCTGAGGATCAGAAAGCTGGGTGCCGATATGTAAATTCTACAGAAAGCTTGCTATTCCTGCTCCTTAGTGGCTGGTTGCCATTTACTGTGCTAGGTTTGCTATTGTTGTTTTTTAATGGATTCGAAACCTAGATATATGCTGGCTGTAGCGAAAGTTTGAAAAATGTTTCTTGATTCCAGTGCTCAGTAAAATAAAATAGAAAAACCCAACATTCACCCCAGTTTGACACAGAGAACCTCTGGATCAACTTTCTCCAACTAGTTGACTTTCATCATTTTTTGGATGGTAGCTGCCATCAACTCTTGGCTATTGGCCATGCTGCCTAAGGCAGATAGGCGTTGTTACAGACAGCTATGACATCACCTGCCCGTCACTGCTGAAGCTATGTGTCATCTACCAATGGCGTGACGGAGGGTGGGACTTAAATGGTAAGTGAGGGAGTGGAACTGAAGCACTGCATGCTTGTAATCTGAGGATCAGAAAGCTGGGTGCCGATATGTAAATTCTACAGAAAGCTTGCTATTCCTGCTCCTTAGTGGCTGGTTGCCATTTACTGTGCTAGGTTTGCTATTGTTGTTTTTTAATGGATCCCAAACCTAGAGATATGCTGGCTGTAGCGAAAGTTTGAAAAATGTTTCTTGATTCCAGTGCTCAGTAAAATAAAATAGAAAAACCCAACATTCACCCCAGTTTGACACAGAGAACCTCTGGATCAACTTTCTCCAACTAGTTGACTTTCATCATTTTTTGGATGGTAGCTGCCATCAACTCTTGACTATTGGCCGTGCTGCCTAAGGCAGATAGGCATTGCTGTTCGGTGAGTGTGACAGTTATATTATTATAGTGATTGACTTATTATTTACATACAATAATTTACCATTCCTTTTGTTTGTATTCAATAAATCTTATTTTTATTTTGAAATCATACTTTGGCCTGAAGCTTCATTTGAGGGAATGGTTGGTGGCAGTGGTACTGAAGAGTGATTGTGTGTGACTTAATAGCCCCTTTGTGAGGTATAAGGAGGCTGTTACAGGTGTTGCTGTTCAAAACATCTGGAGGGCACTGATCCAAAGGAGAGGTTTGCAGGTGGCTTGAAGGTCTTTATGCGAGAGGAACTCTCCATTATGAGAGAGACAGGAAAGTCTCAAAGGAAGAAGAGTAAGAACCCCTGCCTTATTTTCAGCCGATTAAGCAAGTTACTTACTCCAGATGAGTGAACCTATGCTTCAGAACAGTCAGGTGATAATGTGGATTGAACGAGAACAATTCATGCAGTTTCCAACAAGGTAGCAATGTTAGTCTCTTTCAGCTTGTCTAGCAAAAATGAGGACATACATTATGATTAAGGAGGGTACGTTTCGTTTGTTTAGTCATTCAGTCGTGTCCAACTCTTCGTGACCCCATGGACCAGAGCA